AAAAAAAAAAAAGAGTATATCTGGGTAAAAGCTTGTCAATTCAGTGAAGAACCTGTATACTTTGTAGGAGTTTCTTTCTTTACAGAGAAAGAAGATATAATACAGTGTAAACCAGGTGTTGCCCGAAGCTCAGTGGGTAGGGTGCCAGCCACATACACCAAGGCTGGCAGGTTCTAACCCAGCCTGGGCCAGCTAAAGAACAATGACAACTACAACAACAACAACAAAAATAGCTGGGCGTTGTGAATGGCGCCTGTACTCCCAGCCACTCACGAGGCTAAGGCAAGAGAATCACTTAAGCCCAGGAGCTTGAAGGTGCTGTGAGCTGTGATGCTGCGGCACTCTACCAAGGGCTACACAGTAAGACACTCTCTCAAAAAAAGAAAAGAGAAAAAATCTTTTCGTCAAGATAACCACTAAACTAACTTTCCTTTCCTGGAAAGTCAGAAAAGCTATTTCTTTAAATTTATCCATTTAAAATTTCCTAATTTTAAAATTTCTAATTTTACTAGAATAATTAGAACAAGAAATATCAGTACTGGCAGTGCCTGTGGCTCAAAGGAGTAGAGCGCTGGCCCCATATGCCGGAGGTAGCGGGTTCAAAACCCAGCCCTGGCCAAAAACTGCAAAAAAAAGAAAGAAATATCGTACCATGCACTAACCGATTGAGCCACTAGAGCTCTTACAACAAGAAATAAATGGAATTTGTAACAAGTACTAATTCAGTAGTATGGTTGACGCTTAAACAACAAGATTGAGGAGCCAGCCTCCCACAAAGTCAAAAATTCACATCACTTTTAACTCCCCAAAAAGTTAACTACTAATAGCATACTCTTGACCAGAGCCTTACCAATAACAAAAATAGTTAAGATGTATTTTATGTTACTTGTATTATGTACTGTATTCATACAACAAAATAAGCTACAGAAAAGAAAACATTAAAAAGAAAATCGGGTGGCGCCTGTGGCTCAAACGAATAGGGCACCAGCCCCATATGCCGGAGGTGGCAGGTTCAAACCCAGCCCCAGCCCAAAACTGCAAAAATTAAAAAAAAAAAAAGAAAATGATAGGGTGGTGCCTGTGGCTCAGTGAATAGGGTGTCAGCTCCATATATCAAGGGTAATGAGTTCAAACCCTGCCCCAGCCAAACTGCAACAACAAAAAAATAAATAAAATACAGATAAATAAATAAACTTAGTTTTAAAAGAAAAAGAAAATCATAAAGAAGAGAAAATGTATTTGTTTTTGTTTTTTGAGACAGTTTTACACTGTCCCCCTGGGTAGACTGTTGTGGCATCATACCTCACAGCAACCTCCAACTCTTGGCCTTATGCGATCTTCTTACCTCAGATTTTCTTTCTTTCTTTTTTTTTTTTTTTTTTTTT